ATGTTCTGGWWGCATTSTCWSSTGAMSTWTMRMCYSCAKCWATGGCWAGAACTCCCAAAKGTCAAGGCCTATTTTCCTCAAATTCCACCAGTGTCCAAATTTGGGCATATTGAGTATTCGTGCCAAATTTGTTCCAGATCTTTCATTRTTTGAGTCCACAGTGCTCTCTGGATGTAGGTGAACTACAACTTCAAAATTCAAGGTCAATGCCCACCAAATCCTTCCAGTATTTTCTGTTGGCCACGGGAGTTCTGCGTGCCAAGTTTGGTTCAATTCCATCGTTGGTGAAGTTCAGAATTCTCTTTGATTGCAGGCTAACTATAAATCTCAGTAACTACAACTCCCAATTGTCTATTTTCCTCAAACTCCACCAGTGTTCACTTTTGGGCATATTGAGTAGTCATGCCAAATTTGGTCCAAGCATCCTCAGAGGCTGTGAGGTTCAGAGCATTCTGAATCCCACCAAGGATAGAACTGGGCCAAACTTCCCACACAGAACCCCCCGTGACCAAGAGAAAATACTGGTGTTTTGTTTTTTCCTGGTGGTCTTTGGCGACCCCTCTGACACCCCCAGGGTTTGAGCAAGGCTGGCGTGGGCGGTGGTGATGATGGGAATGGTCCTACCTGGGCTTTCCAGAGGGCGGGGCTCCTGGGCCCCTGGGCGGCCCCTTTCCTCTGCTGGAGCCACTTCCTGGGCGAGAAGAAGATGCTGTTGGCGCCTCCGCCGCTGGGGGCGCTGCTGAGAGCGGAGGCGGAGGGCGCCCGGGCCAGGAAGGGCAGCTCCCAGGCCGTGTGCCGCTTCCCGCGCCCGGCGGGCTCGTACTCGAAGTGGCAGCTGCCGGAGGGCGACTTGTCCAGCGGGGTGCTGGGCGTGGAGAGCGAGGCGCAGGCCCCCGGGGGCGCGAGGGCGGCGGGCGGGCGCGAGAGGGCGCGCGCCCAGGCCAAGGAGGAGGAGGCGGAGGAGGGGGGGAACTCCGCCGAAGCGCCGCCGCCTCTGCCGCGGGACAGCACGGCCGGGTCCAGGCTGCGGGTCTGGCGGAGCCTCCGCTTGGAGAGGCTCTTCGCGGAAGAGGCAGGAGGCGCCGAGGAGCAGGAGAAGACGCTGTTGAGGAGGCTCTGCGCAGACATCGCGGAGGCTTGCACTCTCCGGAGGGTCCACGAGCAGCCGAGGGACGGAGGGAGGCTGTGCCGCGGCGGAAGGAGAGCCCGCCCGGCCCCCCGCGCCTCCTCCTCCTCCTTCGCTGCCTCCCTCCCTCCGGCCTGGGCTGGCTCCCCTCGCAGCCCCTCGCGGCGTGGGCTCCCGTGGGCCCGGGACCAGCGCCTAATTTGGCAGGAGGGCTCCAGCAACACCGCCCCTCCGGCCTCGCTCTTCCCTCCCGCGCGCGCTCCGAGAAGCGCAGGCTTGGAGCCCTCCCGTCCAACCCCCTGCTGCCTCCATCCAAGCCCTCCCGGCAGATGCCCCTCCACGCCGCCTCGGCTTCCACGCCTTCCCCCACGCACGCTCCCAGGCAAGCCATGCCGCTGCTCAAGCCAAGGACGCTCTTCCTCTTTCCCCCGCACTTCTTTCTTTCTTTCTTTCTTTATTGCGGGCCTTTCTCTCCCGCCCTTCTCACCTCCGAAGAGGGACTCAGGGCGGCTTGCAGCAGGCACTCATTAGAGGCCAGAAAAGCAATACATTAAACACACACAATTAAAACCATTACTGTAGAAGCATTCCATTAAAAACAGTTCGCTGGTTCAAAATGTAATCCAAATCACTTGGGATCCTTTGCTCCCTGTCCTACCAGAAAACTCCTCTCCTTTCGAAGACTGCAGTGGTTAGGTTGCTGTGCGTTTTCCGGGCTGCATGGCCATGTTCCTGAAGCATTCTCTCCTGATGTTTCGCCTGCATCTATGTCAGGCATCCTCAGAAGTTGTGAGGTCTGTTGGAAACTAGACAAGTGGGGTTCATATATCTGTGGAATAATGTCCAGGGTGGGAGAAAGAACTCTTGTCTGCTGGAGGCAAGTATGAATGTTGCAATTGACCACCTTGATTAGCATTGAATGGCCTGGATGTTTCAAGCTGAGGCTTCTTACTGCCTGGGGAATCCTTTGTTGGGAGGCGATTAGCTGGCCCTGATTGTTTCTTGTCTGGAATTCCTCTGTTTTATATAAACCTCACTTGCCTAGTTTCCAACAGACCCTTCAACCTCTGAGGAGGCCTGCCATAGATGTGGGCGAAACGTTGGGAGAGAATGCTTCTGAAACATAGTCATCCTGCCTGGAAACACACAGCTATCCAGCCGCTGTTTAAATGTTTCCAAGGAAGGAATTTCCACCACACTGATGCAGAGAGTTCCACTGTTGAACAGCTCTTCTCGTCAGGAAGTTCTTCCTCATGTTCAGGTGGAATCTCCTTTCCTGTAAACTCGTCCTAGTTTCAAAGGCAGCCGAAAACAAGCTTACTCCCTCTTCCTTATGAGACACCCAATCACATATTTATACAAGCCTCATCGGGCTTAGCTTCCCAACCTTGGCTCCCTTTGGTTGCCTGTCCCTGGGCACAGTCTAATTCCAGGTGGGGTCTGACCAAAGCAGAATATGACTTCTCTCGATCTGCCTCCATGGCTTTCGGGGTTCCGAAATGCGACATTCAGATGGAGGGGGAGACACGCTGAGGAATTGCGGAAGGGACCTGTCAACTGGCCCTCGCTGCCGGGGAGGGTTTGTTGGACGTGGCATACAACTATCTGCCTCGACAGAGAAAAGGCTGAGCAAGGGATGGCTTCAGGCGGGATCCTGGCCACGCCCCCTCGGGTTGCGCAATGGGGGGGGGGCGCGCGCTCTCCCTTCGCGTGTCAGGTTGGCCTCCCCCGGTTGGGACTCATGGCGCGCAGGTTGGACAGGGCAGAACTCTGTTCAGAGGGTTCTGAATGGGTCATTAACTCGTTCAGGGTGCATTTAAGGACAGTGTAGAGCAGGCATGGGCAAACTTGGGCCCTCCAGGTGTTTTGGACTTCAACTCCCACCATTCCTCACAGCCGCTTATGCGGCTGAGGAGGAAAAGGAAAGGGCCTGAGGCTGTGAGGAATGGTGGGAGTTGAAGCCCAAAACACCTGGAGGGCCCAAGTTTGCCCATACCTGGGGTAGAGCCATATAATCCAGTTCAAAGCAGATTATCTGATTTAAAATCTGGCTTCTATGGAAGTGTAGACCTGAAGGTTGGCAGTTCGAATCTGTGGGTCGGGTGAGCTCTCACTGTTAGCCCCAGCTCCTGCCAACCTAGCAGTTCAACAACGTACAAATGTGAGTAAATTAATAGGTTACACCTCAGCAAAATCCCCTGGGCAAACCCTTATGCCAGCAGGAATGAAGGTCGAAGGTTCAAATCCTCTGTCATCTCCAACTCCACAAGGATGGTTAAACATCAAAACATCCGGACATCCTCTGGGCAATGTCCTTGCAGACAGCCAATTTTCTCACACCAGAAGCGACTTGCAGTTTCTCAAGTTGCTCCTGACACGAAAGGCAAACAGACACTCCAAGCAATCATGCTAGCCATGTGACCAGGAGGTGCCTATGGACAATGCCGGCTTCTCGGCTTGGAAATGGAGATGAGCACCTCCCTCAGAGCCAGAGTTGAGCACCACCTCCAGAAGCCGGAGATGGAAACGGATGTCTTTGCCTTTGTCTTTGTAAATTTCTGTCTCATTGTATCAAGGCATTTGATGTTTGCTTTGTGTTGTATAAGGGAAAGGGAAAGGTTTTCCTCTGACATTAAGTCCAGTCATGCCCGACTCTGGGGGTTGGTGCTCATCTCCATTTCTAAGCTGAAGAGCCAGTGTTGTCCGTAGACACCTCCAAGGTCATGTGGCCAGCATGACTTGATAGTGTGCTGTTACCTTCCCACCATAGTGGTACTTATTTATTTACTCACATTTGCATGTTTTCGAATGGTTAGGTTGGCAGAAGCTGGGGCTAACAGTGGGAGCTCACCTCATTCCCTGGATTTGAACCTGTAATCTTTCGGTCAGCAAGTTCAGCAGCTCAGTGCTTTAACCCACTGTGCTACTGGGGGCTCCTTGTGTTTGTATATATACTGTAATCAACTCAGAGTCCCCTTGGGGGGATAGGGAGGAATATAAACAAAGTTCTTCCTCTTGTTGTTGTTGTTGTTGTTAGAGCTGTACTTTTATAAGGTTTTGAACCTTTTCTGCCAAAGAGTACTGGTGCCTTGTCAAACTTGAACTCCCAGGATTCCATAGCATTGAGCCTTTGTAGTTAAAGAGGTATCAAACTGCATCGGTTCTACTGTGTAGATCTTCTAGATGCACCCATGGATGACTACTAGCTAAGATAGTGACACTTATGCTTTCTGATGGTTCGTTGTAGGTAAGCTTTGTTTCGTGTCCTGAGGAGAGGCGGGTAAGAAATGAAATTATTATTATTATTAATGCACAGATTTTTAAACATTCTGTATAACATTACCTCAAAGCTATGTATATATGGCACAGAAATAAATTTCAGCTTTAAAGTTGGGTCCCAGTATTTCAAAATTTGAAAAAATCCAAGTATTGTTTTTGACAAGAGATACTCAACCTGGAACTTGGAATGTAATACATTGTTTAGTTTATCAGGAGCAAAATTATCCCTCGGTTGCATTTGTGTTTTTTTCTTTTCATACAGTAATGCCCAATTTTGAAAGTGAAGCTTACCAGGAAGGCACGTTTGCCTAGAAATAAACCCACACTTACACACACACCAAACCAGATGTGTTCTCTCTCTGTGTGTGTGTGTGTCTGTGAGAGAGAGAGGGGGGGGGAGAGAGGCTCTTCCATGCTAAAACAGGATTCCCCAGGCAGCAATCAGCCAGGCTTTGAAGCTGCAAGGCCATTAAATGCTAATCAAGGTGACCAATTGCAACATCCACACTTGCTTCAATCAGATAAGAGTTCTTTCTCCCACCCTGGCTATTCCCTTGCCTAGTTTCCAATAGAATCCTCAATCTCTGAGGATGCCTGCCATAGATGTGGGTGAATCGTCAGGAGAGAATGCTTTTGGAACACGGCCATAAACCCACAGCAACCCAATGCACCTGGTTGACTTTCTTTCTTTCTTTTTTAAATTCAGATTTTAAAAAGAAATTTCTGGTATTCAAAATGTAGGTTTGGTGTGTTGTAGCTAAGTTATCATTCAAAACAAATCTCTTTTGTTTCAAGGTGCCAGTGAAAAATCTACATTTTGCTACTTTGTACACTAAAGCCTATGCAAAATAGATCTGTTGAATATATCGTGCTTAACCAGGGTTATTGGTTGGGGTTTTTTTGCCTTTGCAAGTGGCAAAGTTTACTTTAAAAGAAAATGCATTTGTTCTGTACATCTATTTTTTTTTTTTGTAAACTTCTTTTTAAGGCGTGAACACAACTGTTTCATGGTTAGTTGTATTCACTCCAACATATGATACATATCAAATCCCTTGACACATTCCCTTCCTATTATGGGCTGCTTATAAATCCTGGGGCAGGCATTCTTCTGTGTAGGCTCTGTTGGATACTTTCCTTCCCTTGCTTACAACTACTGTATATGCAGTTAACTGACACGAACCAAGTCCAGAAATGTGCAGCATGCTTTCCCACTCCACTGAAATGAATGGGTAATATTCTTAAAAGGGGGGTAATTAAGAAATATATATTAATATAAACATCTTCACAGTAGGAGTTTTTTCTCCTGACACAGGTCCAAACTGCTTGTGTAATGCTACTCATTGCCACGGAAATCCCACATGCCTTAGTCAAGTGTCTTCAAGTTCTACTCCTGAACTACTTGATATGTTGATAGATTTGGTTGATATGTCAATACATTTAAGCATTGTGTTGTTGGAGGCTTTCATGGCCAGAATCACTGAGTTGCTGTGAGTTTTCCGGGCTGTATGGCCATGTTCCAGAACCATTCTCTCCTGACGTTTTACCCACATCTACGGCAGACATCCTCAGAGGTGGTGCGGTCTGTTGGAAACTAGGCAAGTGAGGTGTATAGATCTATGGAATGTCCAGGGTGGGAGAAAGAACTCTTCTCTGTTTGAGGCAAGTGTGAATGTTGCAATTGGCCACCTGGATTAGCATTGAATGGCCTTGCAGCTTCAAAGCCTGGCTAGTTGCTGCCTGGGGGAATCCTTTGTTGGGAGGTGTTAACTGGCCCTGATTCTGGTATT